TATTACAACAACATAATCGAGCTATGGGGCTCCAATGCTATTTAACATTTTTAAAAATGTCACTCCAAAACGTTTGAATTGTTTACTGCAAATAGTTCTTTTGATAAAGATTACAACTACATAATATTTTTGAGGATAATTTGATATTTCCGAAGGTTTTTGAAATTAAAAAAAAATATATATACCTAAACCTTAACAAAATTTTCTTTTATTTTCAATTTCTTTCTAAGTAGACGGCCTTTCTCCTTTAGTTGTCGTAATCAGTATCAGAAGGGCTACCAATGGTAAACATTTCATAATCATAAATAATAAGAGGTGTCCGTAAAATGCATTTAAGCCAAATTAACATGTTGCTGAACAAAGTCTATTTTGAATGTTTTGCAGAAAATGCCGTCGCAAATAATGCCCGATGGCAGTGATGGTGCTAATAATGAAATTAAAGTCAAAACCGCATATAGTGGAAAGGTTATGATCAGTTATATAAAAGAGAACATCACTTACGACGAATTATGTTTTGAAATACGTAAGAATTGTAATTTCACTTTGGAACAGGTAAATAATAGAAGATAATATAAGATAATAATAACAATATGAGTAGATTACTTTATTTTAAACCAATTTCGTTTTGCAGCCGTTTACCATAAAATGGGTTGACGAAGAACATGATCCTTGTACAATATCCACACAAATGGAACTAGACGAAGCCATACGGTTATATGAAATGAATCATAATCCGGAATTGCTAATACACGGTATGTTTTGATCACTCTAGATATTTTATATATGCTGCAAAATGGGAGAGTTCCGTTAGTTCACATTTCAAGACGCGAATTCGATGTAGTGTAGACTATTAATTCGTTAAGAAAACATACAGAATTGTATAAAAATCAATATTCTGTAATTTGTGATATCAGATTTGTACCGATCAACTCCACTTTTTGATAAATTTTAAATGTAAGTGCCAAAGGCCTTGTTATTTCAATAACTCTTTATATTTATTTGCGTATTTTAAATTTTTTTTGACAATTCGGTTTCACTTTTCCCATTATAATTTACTGTTTACTATCCTTTTCGATGCCATAAACCAAATGTTAATTTGGTTCTAATAAAGTTTAATAAACTGTTATTAAAATACCTTTAAATTTATTAAAATATTATTATTTGATTTGGACCGATCAACCCCACTTTTTGATAAATTTTAAATGTTAGTGTCAAAGGCCTTGTTATTTCAATAATCTTTTATATTTATTTGAATTTTTTGACAATTCAAGTTCACTTTTCCCATTATAATTTACAGTTTACTATCCTTTTCGATGCCATAAACCAAATTTAAATTTGGTTGTAATAAAATTTAATAAATTGTTATTAAAATACCTTTAAATTTATTAAAATATTATAATTTTAGGTGCCGACTTTAGGAAACAGTTATCCAATACTCGGCATGGTTAATACACTCAGTTTGTTGGTTATAATGAATTCGGATTGAAATCATAACTTCTGTTGTGGAAAATCAACTAAAACTGTTTTTACTAAAAGCATATGTATATAATAGTTATGCCAACCAAACAACTATCGCGGAAGAAAGTACCGGTTTTCTAACTTTTGGAACCGGATATTCCAACGCTAAACTTGATAAGGTTGGGCCACTTACAGATATTCATATGATATCACTTTTAAATTCCGCAACTTCCAACATGTAAATCCCAGAAATCCGCACTCTTTTTCTATCCACATAATGAAAACCTTCGAATCTTATATGAGAAACAATTGTATGGAAATGCCTGTATATTACATGTCATGTTCCAGGTCGAAAATATAGCTTCAAGATTTCCAATGCTATGCGCAACATAGGTTAACATAAAATATGTGATATTTACACAGATATTTTGTGTTCCATACGACCATTGTTGTTCGTTATACGAATATTGTGTGGCAGACAGCTGTGCGGGAGCAAATTAAAGTTTGCACTTAACTGAATGCCCTCCGAGAGATTGGGGAGTTTATGAAAGAGCATGCGCATAAATGAAATATTTTATCTTGAATTATTCTCTTCCACTTTTATTTTTCTACATATAACAAATGTAAATATTCAAATACATAGGTAGGTTACAAGTTGTCTCGCAATATTCAAAAATAACTTGCATATGAACAAGTTTTAGGTGGCACAAAATAATTACAAATATGTAGTTTATTCTTTATGTAATAAGTGTTCACTTTGCTACAATACCCCTGTGAAGTTGAAATATCACACATCTTTGTCAATGTCGAAGTTGGTGTTGGTGTTTTTCCTTTTCTGAACTTGCGCTACACCAAAGATAGATGTTGCGACAATGACAGGGAATTAATCACATCACAAACATATTTCTTGTGGATAATTTGCTGGTGTGTATGGCATCTCTCATAGTTTGTTTTTGTTTCGGGTGATAAAGGTTTATTTGCGTCAATGTTAACTCTCTTCATTACAATGTCAGCCGAGTTGCTCTGAGTGTTGATAAACGAAATAGGAGACAATAAAGTTAGTTCAGAGACCATCATTTCAGAGAAAACACTCGCAATATACTGATATACTGACATTGAATGTCCGATTCAATGCTGTTATCGTTGCCTGGGAGCATTGAAATCTTTACCCCAAGTATGTCGTTTTTCTATCGGCAGCTGGCCTCTATATTTTTTGATATCCTGCCAACTATATGGAAAGCAGTGTTCGAATACAAACGCTATTATACCGTACCACAGTATTACCAAAATATTAGTGTTAATGTACCGGTAGATTGTATAATTTTTATTTTTGTGTTCTATAACTATTATCAAATAACTTCACAGATCTAAGTACTGATTTACATTTCAAAATTTTATTCGCCTCTATTTTGAAGTTTTTAGTGAGAGAGTTGATGGGAATAAATACCTTCACATCTCGCCCACAAGCTGGTATAATATTTCTTCATCAGATATAAAAAATAAGAGTTTCTCATGCTCCGGGAAATGGAACACTACTATTGTTAGTATTATGGAGGTAAACAACGGTTTGTAGTGGTCAGATTGCGATACTCAGATTTTTAGAATACGAACATCGTTGTGCCGAACCGTTACAGTGACACTAAAATTTTTTATTATGTTTATGTTGCGAAAAACTAACAATAACAATATTTGAGTATTTGTGTACCTGGCGGTAGGGAGGAATAAATTATTTTAGTGTACCGTTTCTTTTCGAACACTGATGAAAAGTCATACTTTCTCCACCTCAGCCAGTCGTATACTTCTGTATAGCATAAACTGACAAAAAGTATGTGTTTGTTTTTGTCTTGTCTCAGGCTCGGACTGTTCTCTTCAGCTGCCTTCCACACAAATTGCAGCACTCGCGCACAGCATTTAGTGGAAAAAGGATGTATTTGTAAGGTTCGATTTAGTATTCGATTACCTTTTGGAGAGTAAAATTACAGAATACAAAAATCCGTTTTTCATTGAGGACGTTGAATTATTATAAGAATAAAGTGCTGCAAAACGTGCAATTGACTAACTTTAATATTGATTAACTAAATCAAACGTTAAGTGTGCCGATAATATATAACAATTTAGTAGAAGGTAAGGAGGACGTGGTTTAAGCGTGGCGTGTATGGTCCGTCGCCTTGTCGGATATGTGTACACACAAAGAAAATCAATAAAAAATCATCCAAAAACTCCACCCAAAAACTTGAGCCACTTCCAATTTTATTTTCTTTCTCTGATGTAGACGAAATGGTCCCTGAATTTGTTTAATGACATAATTGTATAATTTAGTTTCTTATGTATCGTCGTTTTAATGATTCCCAGTATTCATTAAAATATTTGCTCTAAGAATTTCGTATCTCGGGGCATGTGCCAATATGTAAGCGATTTGTGGTATGCATTACGGGGCAGCCGACTCCCTTTTATATGTTGCCAATAATGTTGCTATATAAATGGTTGACTTGTGTACATTTAGCAAGGTCGAAAATGTAGAATACTCTGATTTTCACAACAAAATACTCTGAAGTTCGCTGTCAACGAAATAACGTTTTTCTCTTGTCCTTTGTTCGCATTTTCTTCGTTCGATATTTTCGTTATTGGGTAATGTTCATGCATACCTTTGTTTACGAATTGCCTGGATGTGCATTGTCAGCAGCTTCGGAGATTTTGACGTCAATTGCGATATTAACCTGGATTTTCAACTATGGCCAAGGGAGGGGGCGCCAATTTGCTAAGCGTTAAAATAAACATAAATATTAACACACTTTATATAGTGCAAAAAGTAAGTACTTACAACTATTTATGTCTTGGATTTGAAGAATTGATCATAAAAGCTACGCCCTATAATAGCTACCAAATTATGAAGACGTAATATTACAAGGATTTTATATAGTACATAACACATAGGTTACAGTTAATAAAAATCTTTGCTCTTGATGTTGTATCAACCATTGACACACATGAATTGCACTTGATTGTGGCAGTAATTGGAAATATTATTAATGTGGTGTTCGTCTTTTTTGTACTTATTTAAATCCGAATTTTACCCGTATTTATAAAACGACGACGAGATGTTTTTCCTTTGGGCAGGAAGATGACATTGACAAATCGCCTAAATATATTATGTTCACTATACATAATGTATCCGATGCATTTTAAAAGTAATAATATGAAAAGCACGATGAACAACTTCTATTGGCAAATATTGCTAGAATTGATATTCATACGGTTTCAAATATATATTTGACCCTTTCAATCAGAGATAAACTCACAAAATGTGTCCCAAATATGACCAAATATGACCGAGTTGAATAATTGAACGGAAGAAAGGAAATATAAATTGATTGGCTCAAGTTACACACAAAAATGCCGGAGCTAGTTTTGTTTACTTATTTGCCTATTTCAGTTCGAGTCATTTACAATGCGAAAGTAGGAGTTGTCTAAAGAATAGTTAAAAGACGTAAAAAACAATTCTTGAGTCATCGGTTGGAAATTGCAATAAACACTGAATAAAATTAATATACACCATGGCTTGGGGTTACTGGAGCGCCACAACTGTAGACCGTGGACGGTCTCCCAGACGTAATACGCAGACGACCCCATTGCCAGTAAATTTAGTTCAACAAGAAGAGGAACCTTGTGTGACGACAACTACGACCGCAATTCAATCTTCAACTACGACAAACTCAAATACATGTCCCAATACACCATCTGGCACCCAAGCTAGCCTATGCTATAGTCCCACTTGTCGCAGTCGCTGTAGCAGTCCATGTCCTGGCAGTCCTTGTCCGGGGAGTCCTTGCGGGTCTATTACCCCTCCGCCACCTCCCCATCCTCTGACATCGTCGCAGCAATATCTTCATCAGCATTCTAATAAAAATTGTCCAGCAGCGCAACAGGTCTTTACTGCCCAGGATTATCCTTCCAGACGTCAATCATTGGATCGTTTGGATAGTCCACAGGTATGGACTTATAGTAAGGTACTGACAATTTATTTAAAGTTTAGATTTCACCCCTTACTAAGGAAAGGTCAAGAAAATAGGCCGCAATGGTTTCCATGACGTGGACGTTTACCAGGATCCACTACTACTACTAATTAAATATACATACCAGTAGGACAAGTTCCTTGATTGTGTGGTTACATGTATTTGGAACGAAATATATCAAGCATTAGGGAAGGTTTTTGCGGACTCGACATCTTTACAAATACGAATGGATGTTCCCGTCAAAGGTTGCGGAATCTAATTTTCTTGAGCTTTTCCTTCATCGCGAACTGCACGCTGTTTACATTTTATGCTAATTTGGTTTATTTTGGTTTTTTTTCTTTGAACATAATCTCTTCAATTGCATACTTTGGCATCCGTGTCATGACTTGTGAATGTTTCCAAAAAAACTCATTGTCATAATCATTTTTTGTAATGGTTGCCGATTGTCTGATATCACTTTGCCCATGCTCATTATAACAGTCGAAATATTTTGATACCATACAGGCGAACCAACTTTCGGATATAATGTGCCGCGGGGCAGTTGTTTCGTCCATCCAGTCGGCCAACAACACCCTCACTCGCGGTGTTTCCCTACACAGTCGTAGTGGAAGTGCCCATGGCAGCATTCATGGCGGTGGCAGTCATCACGGAAGTCACGGAACCATGGGTCCGCCTGGCAGTGTTCATGGTTCAATGGGCTGTCTACAAGGCAGTACCGGGCATTTGGTAAATGTGGGTCATTCGAACAGCGGTAGTGTGGGAATGCTTGCCGGCGGAGCTGTTGACACTGGCGACTATGACGTTCCCCATCCACATCCATATACACATCACTATATGCAAACATCGTCGTCAATAACCCCACCCCATTCTACAATGAATTTGATTGGTTCCCGACCAGGTTCGGCAGGGCCGTGTACTGGCCACGAATCTGGTTCCGATTCTAGTCAAGGCTGCGGCGGGCATATTGGGCATATACATATGGCTGGTATAGGTGGTATCGGTGTCCACCACTCCCATACAGGGGGCAGTGGTTCTCTGGGGCGTTGTTCCAGCCGCTGCCATAATACAACTACAACTACAGATGATTCTGGCGGCGGAAGTGGCGGTAGTGTTTTCGGCAGCGGCCCTTGTATGGGCATTGATCACCAACCACAACATCAGCATCATCACATTGTTCGGCATGGTAGCGCTGGCAGTGGCCTCAATGGCTGTGGCAGTGTAGGAAGCGGAGGTCGCAATAGTTCTCTCAGCACAATTCACAACGGCCACGGTCATCATCAACAGTATCATCACGAATGTATCCACTATGAACGACTACCCATACCAGTCCCCATACCCACTGTGCCAACGACACATCACCAGCAACAACACTTGCAATCGGAAGAGGAAATTGAACCGGCATATGCAACAGGTATGAGCATGAATACATCATGTGTCTTGTATAAAACATCTTACTGATTATATATATATATATATATTTTGGGAATTATTTACTTTTGTACTTTTGTATAATTTACAAAACAGATTTAGTGTTAACTCGCCTGAACAAAAATACCAATGTATGTTATGTGCATAACATTTCAAATGGTCTGTATGTAAGTACATTCGTGCAGACATCCAAGGTAGCTGTACAAGAGTTGTTCGATATACGTGCTATCGTAGCTCAATTTATAATATTTCCAGCAATGCTCATTGTTCTTGGCTACTTTTTCATTTTTTAAATGAAATTACTTCTTCAACGCCTAAACCACTTTTTGTTCTTCTTGAACTAGTTTTTGCTCCTTTCTATGTACAATTTAAAATAATCGACTGTTGTTTGCAACTCCTTAAGGAAAGGAAAACTTATCCATTTTCCTAAATATGCGTGATCGGATTTCGACATGTTTTCTTGGCATATTCGCGTATAATTTGTGATTTAAGTTTCTTATAATCTCATAGCTGGACGTTTTTTTTTAAATTCTCCTCTTTTTTTGTTTTTTTTTTTCGAGGTTTTGGTTTGTTAATGTTGGGGTTTCCAGCACACAATTCTAAGCATATTTCTTTTGTGAGCGATATGTTGATGGTCTAGTACGACACAATTCTAAGCATATGTCTTTTGTGAACGATATGTTGATTTTGTTTTTTTTTCGAGGTTTTGGTTTGTTAATGTTGGGGTTTCCAGCACACAATTCTAAGCATATTTCTTTTGTGAGCGATATGTTGATGGTCTAGTACGACACAATTCTAAGCATATGTCTTTTGTGAACGATATGTTGATGGTTTGGTACGATTGAAATTAATATGGTCTGAACTGAATCGTTATCGCATTGGTGCAGTATTTTTTGTAAGACCTTTACTGATAATGCAATAAGCCTATGTTAACTGCTAATCTTATCTCTCTCAATTTTCTATTAATGTATTTGTGTGGGCATTTCCACGTTCTATGTATTGAAAATGTTTATACTTAAAAGTAGCTATTAATTAAGAGTTGATATGATTGTTTTATTATGGAATGACCCGTAAAAAATTATTTGTTTGAACTGGAAATGCGTCGTCATATTCATTAGGTATAAAATTTCGGTCCCCTTTACACTTTGCAGCATATATAGAATGTTAAAAATATTGTCAACAAATATAATAGAGCGAACGCCTAATAACAGTTGAGGTTAATTGTATTGTTATGGAGTGGCCCATAATAAATTATTTGTATTGACTGGAAAATATTGTATCGTCGTATTCTTTTAGCATAGAATTTTCGTTTACATTAGTTTTTTTCTCGAACTCACATAAGATCGTGTTACCCATCCGTTTTTCCCTGCATTCAGTCTTCAAATTTAATTTCTACGACGAAGAATCATAAACTTAAAGATATAGATGGCTACTTTTGTTAGAGAACAAATTGTTAAAAGTGAATAAGTACCCAAAAATACTCGCTTTAAGTGTGACATACATAATAACAAAATTAAAATTTAAGGGGAAGGCCCTACATGTTATCAAATTGATTAATACAATGAACAGTCTACCTATTTTCTGTTCAATCGTTCTTTTAGTTTTTTTTTTTTGTTTTATGCCATTATTTTTCATGACAATTTCTGTTTTTACTTAAGTTCGTTAATGAACGCATAACAACACATTGCAGATGGATCTACTTCAACGCTGACAACGCTATACTTTATGCGACTTGGCACACATTCACACGAATGTTCTTGTTCTCATTCACGAAGACTCTCATTCTCGGGTAGTTATTTACATTGACATTCATTAGGGTATCTCTTCATATAATCTACTGTTCTCATCAATTTGTTTCACGATTCGCTACGGTTTCGTGTGGACGAATTAGTGGTCACTTAGCACTAACAGTTCAACCCGGTGGATTGTCAAACAAAGAACATTGTGTGTTGTTGTCTGCGAGTGATCGGTAAAAGCAAAGAAACAAAGAAATCAATCAAAGTCAAAATATATTATCGGGAAAGAAAATCAAAATTATCGATTGGACTATACGCAATGTTGTAAATAATAATATTATAGGAGTGTAGTTTGTTGCTTATATAGAAAGTAAAACAGCGCCATGATCATTTGGGGCGGTATTTGTGATGCTGCCGCAATTTACGGGGATCAAACTTCATCTTTTTTTATGAGTGGTGGTGCAGGAAGTTAGTAGTTTTTTATTAAATCAATTTCAGCACATATCTGACAAAAATATTAGTTTTCCAATAATGACTTTACAACTTTTTTGTAACGATTCCCACTTGTGCTGTGGCACCGCCAAGTTGAAACAACATTTCGTCCAAGTTCATATCTCTCAAAATCAAAATTATCGATTGGACTATACGCAATGTTGTAAATAATAATATTATAGGAGTGTAGTTTGTTGCTTATATAGAAAGTAAAACAGCGCCATGATCATTTGGGGCGGTATTTGTGATGCTGCCGCAATTTACGGGGATCAAACTTCATATTTTTTTATGAGTGGTGGTGCAGGAAGTTAGTAGTTTTTTATTAAATCAATTTCAGCACATATCTGACAAAAATATTAGTTTTCCAATAATGACTTTACAACTTTTTTGCAACGATTGCCACGTGTGCTGTGGCACCGCCAAGTTGAAACAACATTTCGTCCAAGTTCATATCTCTCAATTCAGGCCAAGAATAAATATGGATGATGTGTTGATTCATGAAGATGACCAATAATGCAAATTTTATAATTTAGCCAAAAATGAACTCGGCCAAAAGAGGCAGCACGATGGCTAATGTCTCTGAAAAATGTCATTCAAAAAACCCTTTATATATTTCATTGATGATTGTCAACATGGACCATTGCTTTCAAATGAAGCTTAAAGGAATAATATATTTAAGAACTAAATAAATGATGTATAAGATTCTCTGTTTGTGGAACTCGTTTATCACGTTGTACAGTCGAAATAAATGATTTCGCCTATATTTATAAATATACATACATATGTGTGGTTGGCCTTTTTTACAACAAACTTACTTGGCCCCCATACTGATTACTTTTAATCATATGATGTTTTATGTAAATTTGATAATACATAGTTTGAATATACATATACACCCATTGTCGCGTTTCTTAATTGTATGCTGTGTAGAGACAGTAGGAATGTTATTCAACGGCATTCTTGACATTTGCCATATTTCGCAATGACTGCGTTTATTGAGATATTTATACTGCTGTATGTTTTTATAATAATAATTGATTTGACAAAGAATTTATCTCAATTTGCGGCAAAGTACTGTAAGCTGAATACTAAATGTTATTATTTAGTGGGAAAAGTGAGCAAGGGTATAGGATATTTGTTATATTTTTCATTTTATTTGTGCTCAGAATATAAAGCGCTCAAACCCATAAGCAGCATAGTTGATAATTATCCCTACACCAACCCAGCATCTTAATTCGCATTGAATAAAACACTTTGTTCTGTGGGGTAATCGAATAAGACTGCTAGAGAACGATTTCACTGTATATAATCATGCATAACTTGTTTAATTGGAAATAACTCTTTTAAATCTCTTCAGTGTTTCCAAATGTTCCAGCGGCCCCTGGTTTGTTATGCGATGGAGAAGACAGTAAGTTATTAAACTTGAAATACGAAATTATCTGTGGTGTACGTACGATTGACTTTATTTGATTATTGCAGGAAGCATATACCGTCGGGGCGCCCGTAGGTGGCGTAAACTATATCGTGTCAATGGTCACATATTCCAGGCTAAACGTTTCAACAGAGTAGGTTACACACGTGCATTTTTTATTCGATACTTATATATTGTTTTTCTGTCCAACAGCGTGCGTTCTGCGCCTATTGTCAAGACAGAATTTGGGGCCTGGGACGTCAAGGTTTCAAGTGCATTCAATGCAAGCTGTTGGTGCATAAGAAGTGTCACAAATTGGTGAAAAAACCCTGTTCCAATGAACTTGTGGAACCGTTAGTTCCCAAAGGCTCTGAAGAAGACTTCGCAGAGCAATTACCGAAAATGGCTCCACCCATTCCAGACTATCCACCCATGCACTCCGGATTGGAAGAGTCACGCATCTCGGATCCAGAACATTTGCCATCATCCTCTGGTAGTGGAGGAGGCGGGGGTCACATGTCATCTGGAAAAGATCCTGTGGACATGGGATCGCAGCGTCAATTTTCGTTGGACGACTTCGAGTTGATACGTGTCATTGGGCGCGGTAGTTATGCTAAGGTATTAATGGTTGAATTGAAAAAGACTCGGCGTATTTATGCCATGAAAGTAATAAAGAAGGCGTTGGTGACTGACGACGAAGACATAGATTGGGTCCAGACGGAAAAACATGTCTTTGAGACGGCTTCGAATCACCCATTCCTTGTGGGTTTACATTCGTGCTTCCAAACTCCTTCGCGTTTATTCTTTGTCATCGAATTCGTTCGAGGTGGGGACCTCATGTATCACATGCAACGACAGAGACGTTTACCGGAGGAACATGCACGCTTTTATGCTGCTGAAATCAGTTTGGCTTTAAACTTCTTGCACGAGAAAGGAATTATATATCGCGATTTGAAATTGGACAATGTTCTGTTGGACCACGAGGGTCACATAAAGTTAACCGACTACGGAATGTGTAAAGAGGGTATACGCCCGGGTGATACAACATCCACATTCTGTGGTACTCCCAACTACATTGCGCCAGAAATTTTGCGCGGAGAAGATTATGGATTTTCAGTAGACTGGTGGGCTCTTGGTGTTTTGCTATATGAAATGTTGGCTGGCCGCAGTCCCTTCGATATCGCAGGAGCTTCGGAAAATCCTGATCAGGTATGATATAAGATGTATTGGATTATATGTAAACGAGCAGGTGTAGTGCTCCATAGTATATATTTTCCCTTTAACATCTACCAGTAATCAGATTTAATTTATAGATTTTCATTTGATATTTGTTTCAGAATACGGAGGATTACCTCTTCCAAGTTATTTTGGAGAAAACTATACGTATACCAAGGTCATTGAGTGTCAAGGCGGCATCCGTTCTCAAGGGTTTCCTTAACAAAAATCCCGCTGACCGTTTGGGTTGTCATAGGGAAACTGCGTTTATGGATATTAAGAACCATCCTTTCTTCAAAGTTATTGATTGGGAAATGGTAAGTGGAGTAATCGGGGCCACATGTTTATTTTATTTAAAGAGATATGTTTCGTGTAATATTTGATGATAACTTTATAATTTACAATTACTATAAAACTACACACTTTATTTTCGATTGTTGTTATCTCATCGCCAAAAGGTTGCTCGAAAGGAAGTAGCTCCACCATTTATACCCACATTTGATCCTGGTGATCCATATTTGACAACCAATTTTGACGTTCAATTTACTAGGGAGCCACCTGAGTTCACTCCAGATGACCCGTAAGTCCTATAGTTGGGATTAAATCCCTAGTGGCATATACTTTACTTGTGTAATGAAGGATTTGCCTTTCGGCAAACCAAATGGTGTTGTTCATATTAAAAACAATATGTGTACTGCTACCCTAAACTGCTCAAACTTAAGCGAACATCGGAGAAAAATTATTACCTATCATTCACACACACATACATGTGAATGTTTTACTTACAACGTTTTCCTTTTTTTAACTCCCCACTTTACCTAATATTTTCTGCTTGTATTTTACTTTTTCCAATCTTTTATTTGAAAACGAACATATACACATTAGTTTCACAATGAGTCTGCCTGCGTATATATTTTAAAGTTTACTAGATACATTTTTTGAATTTAGCATTATTGAGTATTAAACTGTCTATTTGAGGAGGAATAATCTCTCTTACTTTTACAATACAACCTAAAATAGCTCATCAAAAACAAACCCGTTTTATTTTCAATTCGAAAATAAAAATTAAAATGAGATTTTGAAAATGCTAAGACGAAGTGGGCTCATTTCGTAAGTAGCTATTCATAATTTGCATTTCAAGTATGCATAAAACACAATGTAGGATTCATGATCTATACCAGTTTAATAGAAATAAGTTATTCATCAAATGTTCACAACATTTAAATCCCCTAAAGTTTTATTTGTTATTTTGATTTCGTATGTCAAACAAAAAATCTTGCTCCTCGCTTTTCTTTCATGTTGTCGCCCAATCAACACCCCTAAAACACACTCATTCATAGCTGGCATACAAGCAAGTTACACCGCCATTCAAACCACGTTTAGACTCAGATCGTGATTTGGCCAATTTCCCACCTGAGTTTACAGGCGAAGCAGTACAATTAACACCCGATGACGAGTAAGTCCGTCTTGTGTATTCTAATTATATAGGACAACAATTGATACAGACATATACAAAACTGTTTACTATTTACATTTTCTACTTTATTTAGCCGTGTCATTGATAATATCGATCAATCGGAATTCGAAGGTTTCGAGTATGTCAACCCTCTCCTTATGTCTTTGGAAGATGAAGTCTGACATCACGAGTTTTGTGATTTGCATCCCTACAACATGCGTGTGAGTAAATATTAGTGTGACAAATGCTGTGCTAATTGAGTTCTAGAATTCCTACACAAGAACATTTTTTCTTCACATACGCAACAATGATGTTTGTGTTTCTTAATGTTTTCACAGCTTTATGGCGAAGACTCCAGTGACTACGATTCTGTTGCTGATGATTTAAGTTTAATGCGTATAAACGCCCCTAATAACAATTTAGCAACACAATTGAATAACTACATCAACGATCACCAACAACAAATGCACCAACATCATCATGATTCCCAGCAACAACAAACATTCCATGAATATCATCAGGACCATTCACAGCAACAGCAACAACAACAACATTCACATAATGGTAACAATAATAATACAAATAATGCAAACAATAATAAAAGTAGTTTATTGCAGCACATGTTTTGCCTTCCATTAAACTAATCTTATAAGCAGACAGACAAGTACAACATATAAACGAAAATCGTGTCTGTAACTGAGAAAAGAAATATTTTATGCAAAGTAATTAAAAAAATATATATGAATATAAGATCCGTAAACACTTTAACCGCTCAGAGTCTATGAACGACATTAAAATGTATAAGAAAACACACAGATTTTTCTATTCGAAACCACAATCACACCATACTATGAAATACGACGCATATACATACAAATATATAACGATTTAAAGAGGGAGACATTTAGCGCGAAATCCCATGTCAATGAAAACTAATTTGAAAAGTACATAACATTCAAAATGTGACTCTTTACATGAATAACGGGAATAAAACGGCGAATTGAAATATCAAATCGAACCAACTTGCAAAGCTCTCATTATAGTTATACTTTTCAATGCGATCTTTTTATGACGCTGAAATATTATTTGTATATTTGTTCATAATTGTGTTTCACACCTATGTATTCCTATGGATTCCCTTACTCGGCGTATAAGCCCAATCACATTAAATTTCGTTTGATCACTTTCTTTCGCGCTTATTCTTTGAAAACATTCGACACCCCTTCTTGTTTATGCATTCGAAAGGTTTCACAAAACATGAATCTGTATGAGTAAATCTAGATAAGAGTGTTCTGATCTGAAGCGTACTTAGTACGAAAATATTTTCCAGTAAAGAGTTACTGTTTTCATAGTAGTAATATAATAACGACACAAACTCTTCAATTTTTAAATTCCTCTCCCTTTCATGAAAACGAATATAAATTTACTAACGCAAAGCTTATTGAAAAACAGAAAATTATTAAAAAGTATATATACAATTTTAAGATTACAATTAATAGTCATTACTGTGGTCATCAAATGTATTTGTATTTTGAGTCTGTATTACTTGTGAGGATTATCTTTTATAAGACAACCGAGAAATAACGTATGTAAGTTTGTTTGCACATATATTGAATAGTTGAATAACTAAGTATCCTCTTATGCATTGACATTAAACGTTTCATTTTCCCAGGTACAGGCGAGTGTGTGTGTCTGAATGTAAAACCTGACCCATAAAATTGTATGTACTTATCTAATTTATCATTTTACGTCCTTTGTATTATTCTTATTTTATGGAGGGACGCCACACCCGTAACGAAAAGTATATGTTGAGTATTAGTTTATATCAGTCAACCTTTTTTAAATACACATATTAACAAATTCTAAAAATGTGTTGTTTGTTACTACATTATTATTGTATTATTCTTATTTTATGGAGGGACGCCACACCCGTAACGAAAAATATATGTTGAGTATTAGTTTATATCAGTCAACCTTTTTTAAATACACATATTAACAAATTCTAAAAATGTGTTGTTTGTTACTACATTATAATGGAAAATAAATTAAAAAAGTACTACTTATTATAGTTAAATAGAAAAACGTGACAATTGTATGACGATTAAAGCCCTTTCTAAATTATTTAGTATGGTTAAATTAGACAAGATTATGAAACCATAAATAAGTTGATCTGTTCCCCCAATCGAATAAAAGAAATAATGTTGCTTCCTTTCCAATACAACTTATGTTTAAGTATAAGTCGTTAGAAGAGTAAAACGGCAGATCCCTCAATCAGTTTTATGTCGTTGCAAATGTCTCGTCGGAGAAGAGAATAGAAGAAACTTTCTGGAACCACGGAAGAACAGATTTTAATAACAATTGTTTAATATAAAAATCAAATTTTTATTTTTAAAAATAAAAAAAGGTAAACAAGTAACAATTACATAAAACTATTTTGGATTTTGTTTTATTTCTTGATTTACATGTGTGTCGGTAATGTAGCTACTAGGCCTAAACCACGGTCCATTAAACGGGTCATGTAAGAAACGAATATTACGGATTATATATCACAAATTTCCAGTAATAATTTTCTGGTATCACACCCAATCGATCAAGTACAGTACACATAAGCGTTTTTAATAAAAAGAAAACTATTTGAAATTATTCCAAACGATTCCAAACGAGGGTTAATCAAAACACTTTTCCCTTCAGATGTGTGCTAATTACGTGACCGGTACTGTATATATATATATTATTGGGCCACGGTCCAAGCCTATATATTTAAATCTATTAAAAACAGGGCGGGACAACCAAAACCTTCATTTGTTTGGACGCATAGACAGAAGAAGGTTGTGAGACTCGCTCTGTCGTGAAACTTCGTCTGCAATAACAAATTGCTAAGCAGTGTTGCCATTTTGGACATTTCGGACCAAGGCACGACACGACTGACTGATTGGTGGTTGTTTACTTCTGATTATGAGTACAAGGCGAATTTAATGAGGTAGCCGCATCAGCCCAGCTGTTGTTGTTAAACATCAAAATGTTCAGCTTATTCTGGATATTTGCTAGGGAGATATCTCGCATGTAAAAAATTTTCGCTTTCACATTCTCGCCTTATTCTGAATGAATAGGGAGATGCAAAAAATGCGAGATGCGGATTCGAGTTTTCGAAAATGGTGGTTAAAAAAAAGATTCGTGTTGCCATATCGTAAATTAAGTTGCGCTGTGTGTGGCCATATTGTAATTTAGGTTGCAATGTGCGTAGCCCCATTGTAATTTAATTGTGTAACATTTTTCAATATATTTTTTATTGATTTTTGTTATTAAAAATTGTTACTTTCTATTTTTATTTAAACTATATAGCAATACAAATGTGAAATATCAAGAATCCGCTGTATAAATGCTTTGGCATGTGAAACAGCTGTTCATTGTTTTGATGCAATTTGTTGCAACAACTACAATAGATTACAAATAAAAGAACATTTTTTATGATGGCAAAAACACAACGAATAATAAGAAGAAATCTGCGATTTAATTAATTAATTCACAGTCTATTATTTCACTACATAATTGTGTGCCTTTTTATTTAATTCCGACATTTTATCTCCCCAAATTCTTAAAGTGGACTGTTATGTTATGATTTGCTTAAAAAATTAGTTCTTTCATAATTTTTATTTAAGTTTTCCACTGTTAAGCGGCTCATCAGGCAAATTTGGGTTTTCCATAATTTAAATTTTTTTTCTTGAGAGACAGAACCTCACCCTTCATACATTCCTTGGCAATACTTGGTTCAGCATGCATCGTTATCAATAGGATTTCCAATGGCAGTTTTTCCAGTTTAAAATTAGCTTACTATCATTTATAATATTCTAAATCGTCATAGAATAAGTATTGTGAGAATATTTTTCAAAACATAGTTATTACTTATGTTTTTGTAGTCAACTCCCTTTAAATTTATTAGCGAAAAATTTCGAACAAAATTTCATCACAAAATTTTTCCCCAAAGCGGATTTTTTCGCTTTCGAACTTCATTCAGAATAAGGCGAAAGCGAGAATGCGAAAATGTTGTTCAGAATAAGGCGAAGGGAAAGAGCGAGTAAATTCACATGGAATTGACATCCAGAATAAGGCTGGTTGTAATTTTCAACCAAAAATCTACAAAATTTGATTGAATTTGTGCAACAAATCCTATCGGTTTGTTTTTCCAAAATATTTTTCACATATTAATGTACAACAATTTTAGAAATTCGCATATGCGACTACCTTACTGAATATACCATGGACGCCATTCTGTCGACTGTTGATTTATTAATAAACATTTGAAAAATTGATAAACAGCCTAGGGAATATCCCGGGGCTGAACCTTTTTGTTTTTAACAAATGATTATCGGTTTTTCGAAATGATTATCGGTTTTTCGTTTCAAGTATTGCCCTAACTTGTATATGGGGAGTGTTATAAGCCCAAGTCAAGGAGAACACAATTACAGTAAAGCCCACTGACGTGAGTAAAAGTTTATCACTCATCTAAACACACAAAAACACTTTTTGGTTTATTAGTAGACACAGGCTGGTGTGTTATTTGTTTGCAAGTACTAAGTATGTTCTAATGATATAGTAATGTAGGGTAACAGCAAGTGTTATTGTACAACAAACGATACAACAACCACATAGAAATTTGTTTTGTGAGTAATACAAGTGTCAATATCATTTGACTGAAAAACGTAAACCCAAGGTACAAGGTATATTTAATAAGGTAGCCGCATCGGCCCAGCTGTTGGACAAATAAATGTCAAAAATGTTGTTGTAATGTTGAACCAAAAAATTAAAAAAACAAAATTATGAATGAAAATCTCCGAATTTCGAAGAGCTTTTTTGGCAATACTTTTATTAACATTTTCTACAAAAATTTGTGTAAAAAAATCTTGTCAATCTGTTTGTTTTGGCAAAATATTTTTGACATATCAAAATACAACAACCGATGTTTGTTGTAGAAATTCGCCGATGCGGCTACATTGTATATCTACCAAGGTATATTTAATAAGGTAGCCGCATCGGCCCAGCTGTTGGACAAATAAATGTCAAAAATGTTGTTGTAATGTTGAACCAAAAAATTAAAAAACAAAATTATGAATGAAAATCTCCGAATTTCGAAGAGCTTTTTTGGCAATACTTTTATTAATATTTTCTACAAGAATTTGTGTAAAAAAATCTTGTCAATCTGTTTTTTTTGGCAAAATATTTTTGACATATCAAAATACAACAACCGATGTTTGTTGTAGAAATTCGCCGATGCGGCTACCTTGTATATCTACCTTGATATCTACCTTGCCAAGGTAGATGTATAAGTTAGCCGCATCGGCGAATTGGGAACATGATATGGCAAAATTGTTAACAAGGCGAATAATAATAATTTCGCCTTGACCAAGGTAGATATACAAGGTAGCCGCATCGGCGAATTTCTACAACAAACATCGGTTGTTGTATTTTGATATGTCAAAAATATTTTGCCAAAACAAACAGATTGACAAGATTTTTTTACACAAATTCTTGTAGAAATTGTTAATAAAAGTATTGCCAAAAAAGCTCTTCGAAATTCGGAGATTTTCATTCATAATTTTGTTTTTTAATTTTTTGGTTCAACATTACAACAACATTTTTGACATTTATTTGTCCAACAGCTGGGCCGATGCGGCTACCTTATTAAATATACCTTGGCCTTGACATACAAAACTCG